GAACTAATTAAAGTGTAGCGGAACTAAAACTCTTCATAAAAAGTACCTTTCCTCATAATTTATTCATATACTTGTTCTATGAAAAGATATTTCTTCTCCTTACCACTGATAGTAAAATAAAAATATCTATAGTCACAAAATAAATGATGCATTTTTGAATTCAGGATTTTATAATTTTCAGCTATAGTAAAAGTATGACATGCATATTTCTAGTTTAGTGTGTGATAATTAAAGAATGCTTGCATGTCAGAATGTAGTACTATCACAGATTACTGGGTTCCCCTAACACTTACATGATAATATAGTTGAACAGATAGGGAGTTAGATGTGTCATCAAATAAGAGAAAATTAGATAGGATGAAGCAGAGGACTATTAGTTAGGTAATCAGTACATCAAGGATGGTTGTATGTGTGTGTGGGGGGGTATGTTTTGGAGGCTACTATAGACTCCAGAAATAAAGCTAAAGAATGGGTCGTCTATGCCCAATGAATCAGGAGGAATGGGAGAATAAATTAACTTTTTGGAAAAGGTTAAAAGTGAACTGATTTTAACAGGAAGAATACAAGAATTAATGAAGGTGAGGGGTTCAGGAGTGTTTTGTTGAAAAAGACAATTTTCTCACAACAGAAGAGTCTTTGAGGGACAAAGTGCAAGATAATAAAGGCATAAACAGGGTTTGTGTGAAACTGGGGAGGAGTATACCTGAATTTGATAAGAATGAAAGTATACCTGGAGATATTATAAGAAAGGAGTTTGCACCTAAGGTGATAATTTTTGATAACTAGGATTGATTAAGCGAACAAGTAGCAAGCATTTATGAAGCACCTACTATATGCCAAGCATTATGCTAAATAAGGAGACAGGAGGTCTGGAGATAGTATAAAGAAATGTATTTTTAATAGGGTATACAAATTGGGGTTTGAAGAGAGAAAGGAAGGTACTAATGCTTAGGCTGAATTTTGTAACTAAAGGCATTTATTGAACTAATTAGAATTGAATTTCTGATTTGAATGTTGCTGTGATGGTGTAGCTGCAGTCAGTCTGTAATCTGGATACTAGGTCCTTCATGCTTTAATTGCAACTTTGAAAAGTTAGAGAAGGAAAGTTTCTGGAGTTGGTCTTTAAATCCTTTCAAGCAAGCAGACTTAAATGGTACCACATTTAGAGGTTTCTATCACAGATTGACTTTTGTATGTGTCATATCCCCCTATAAACTGCAAACTGCATGAGGTTAAGGAGTAAACTTTGTACCCTACCTCATCCTCTCTCATAGATTTCTATATGCAGCAGGTGCTTAATAAGCATTTGCAGAACTGAAGTTGAATATAAGACAAATATATATAAATGTAAAAATAAACATTTGTTTCAATGAAAAATATAAATGACTTTTGGATTATCTATATTAGTAACTATTAGTGTAGATAAGTTGACTCTATAAACAACTTTACTACCTATAATGTGCAAAGTACTACACATAGCTTATACAAGAAATTTAATTCCTATTAAAGGTTTACTTTCTTCAAATAATGACCTATGAATTTTTTGAAATACTATTTTTTCTATGTTCCTTGTATCTTTAGGTTTATAGAGTAAATGTTTAGATTACTATAAAAATCTTATTGTGTTTCAGACTATTTAATATGAAAAATGTGGTCTCTACATTGTGTAATGATTACAAAATGACCAAATCGTTTAAAAAAAATGGAAGATGTGATAGTTTCATGCAATATGCCAAAGTAACTATTGTAAAGTTTAGCTCAAGAAAGAAATAGCCTTATTGCTGATGGAGTAAGTAGATAAAAAATAATCCCCATACCTTAAATAGTAAAATGAACCTGTTGAAGAATATTTCTTTTGCAAAGTACCCTTGTTGACAGCCTCAGGGGATTGTTACCAATTTTGTAAGTCTTATATAACTGTCTTTTCACTACGGATGAAATAATGTTCTGTAGACTGATCCTGCTATTTCTCTGGCTCAATACAGCAAATATTAGCAGATGTTTCCACTATATGAAACCTTATCAAAGTCCTGTTGAATATTTTTCTTTTTTATTTGCCAACAGTTTATTTCTTTTAGCTCTTTCTATGTCTTAAATTGCCCATTGTTAGAGTAGAAGTTGTTTACTTCTAACTACGGAGTTCTCAATAAAACCTTTTAAAGTACACATCCACAAAGAGGAAGTTAAAAAGGTTGATCTATATGCCTTGCATTATGAATTAGGTGAAAACTATGATTTGAGATAAGGATAAAGGGAAACAACTAAAACTAAATAAAGATAAGATGATAATTAAACTCCTATGACATCTTTTAGCCCTAATGTGCCTCAATTTTTTGACTCAAAGTCCTGAATTAAATCTATAGTAGCAATTAATTCAAAATTGTATAATATTATAAGACTTAGAAAGTTCTTTATTCATAACAATCCACTTGTGTCATAGTTTGCACAAATATTATTATGCCCATTGTATATTGTGGAAACTTAGACGCAAGCTGGTTAAGTGATTTTTCCAAGACACAAAATTGTTAAATACTGGAGCCAAGATGTAAAACAAGTCTCCTGACTATTCCTAAATTTTATAACATTTATACTTTCATGATTGCTTTTTATTTCTATTTTTGAGACTGCATCTTTCACTCAAACTGAAAGTACATAGTCCACTTTGTGCTTAAGCCCAATACTGATCAGCATGTAAGCTTTATTCTACTCCATCTCTGAACTGGGATGATTCACTTTTCCTTAGGCAACCCAATGGCCCCTTGTTCCAAAGGCTTACCATACAGGTGTTAGCACACCCATTTGTTGTTAGCTGTATTGAAACTCAGAAACCCTGAGCTCAAGCAGGGCTCAGACTCCTGGTTACAGGGATTCCAGGCTACCAATCTCAGGCATGTTTATGCCTTATTTGAGTGTGAATTTTCCTATTCTTTTTGGGTATGAGCAAGCTTTATGTGGCACTAACAATCAGTAAGAAATCATAACACTGACCTAAAGCTTAAAGAGACTATACAACTGCCAACATTTTGTGATTTCATAGAATCATAATTTAGAACTAGAAGAAAATGGAAAATATCTTCTATTTTTTTTTTCAGATGAAGTCTAGAGCCATTAAAAATCAAATAAAATTCTTACCCATGTTCAGAGAGCTTGCAAGGAACAACATTAGGACTAGCTCAGGGTGCCTTACTTGAGGCCTATATACTTGCCATTTAAATGACAAAAGATTAATATGACAATGATGTCTCCCATCTCATGGAATGGATAACTTCAAATTCATTCTTTAGTTCTAATCTGGAAACACATTCATGGGTTTGAGTTTTCTGAGGTCATTGTAATAACACTGTTAAGTAAGAACACCCTCCTTTTAATGTTATATACATTTAATGAGCTTAATTCACCTAATTAATTCCTCCTCATCCCTGGCAGGGATCAGAGTGAGAATGAGATATCAGAAAAGTACATTTTGGTTGAGGGAAGAACAGGAAGCTATAAAACAAGTTTGGGTACAACAAACAGTTAGGGGACTCTGGAAAATTAAGAAAATAGGGAGAGGTCTGGGGGTCAATGAGTAGAAATGCAATAAGGAAGAGAAGGGCATAGTAGAATATAAAAAGTTCTCTACAATGCAGTTTTTACATAATGTCTTCAAAATTCAAAATAACAGTAGTTTTTTTTAAATTGAGTCAATTTAAAAATGTAAATAAATATAACCTCTGTGTTTGCTATTCATCTTTGCTCAATTCTAAGGAACATTTTGTTTTTCATAGAAGGCTCCTTGAAAGCAAGGAATATTTTGTTTTTCTTAGTCAGTGAAGTTGCCTTTTAAGAAGCACTCTCTATGTGCCAGACACTTTTATAAGCTCTGGGGATTCATAGAAAGTCAAAAAACAGGCTCTACTCTCAAGTATCTCACAAAGCCTAATCTTGGAGTCAACATCAAATAAGTATGTACAAACAAGATATAACTGGATGAATTGGGGCTAGTCTCAAAGAGAAGACACTAATATTAAGGAAGACTGGGAAATTTTTTTATTACAAAAGATGATACTTTAGCTGAGACTTGAAGGAAACTGGGGAAGCCAAGACAGAGATGAGAGAACATGTTCTGGATAGAGGGAATAGACAGAGAAAACACTTAGAAAACTGTTTTGTGTGAGGAAGGGCAAGGAAGGCAGTGTCCCTGGATCTCAGAGAATGAGGAACAGAATAAGGTATAAAAAAGAATGGAAAAGTAGAAAGGAGACAGATTATGAAGAATACTGGTTTTTTAAAGGCCTTTTTTGTCTTTGTGTCCTCAAGGCACAGTGCACTGCTTTACATAGGTAAGCACTTAGTCAATGTTTTGAATTGAATTAAATTGGCAGCAATTGTTTTGGCCTAAGGAAATAATTTATTATTAAGTAAGTAATTTATTATTAAGTAATCAATGATTTTAGGGTTTTAATGATTATAAGATCATAGATTGAGAGTTGAAAGTATTTTGATTTACATTTAGAGGTCACCTCATTTAAATGTTTTTATAGCTGATAAAATCTATATGTTTATATATGTACATATATATAATTTATATTAGTAATACTAATACAGAGAACAAACTCTCCCTATTTTGCACTTAAAGTTCTGACTGCCAGATTGTGGTTAGACAAAAGAGTATTCACGACAAGTTCCTCATGGTACCTCCAATATACCTTTTTGCATATATATTACCTCAATTGTATACATTTGGTTCAAGAATTTAACAAATTGTAATAGGTCTTGTTACACTCAGGTTTCAGAACATAGTCCACAAAAGCTGCACTGTTTTGTTTATGCTATTTTATTAGACTAGTCTCTATTCTTTCTTGAGCATTAGTTATCTGCCTTGCCACAGGGGAGACAGACTACCTCTTGCCTTTCTATCATTAATTCACAGAGGGAGGGGAGAATGCCGTACAGCTTTAAATTCATTGCTAAATATGGCAACATCTATAATTACAGATCACCATTTATTGTCTCCACAGGAACTTCTGTTATCCAGGTGACAGCTACAGATAATGATGATCCTTCACATGGGAATAATGCTAGACTCATTTATACTATACTACGGGGACGACCCTATTTTTCTGTAGAGCCAACGACAGGTACTACTGACTAACATAATCATAAACATAGAAAAGATAACTGAAAGTGTGGGAGCCAATGAAACTATCTTATATCCATATATATTTTTATAGATGTTTCCAAACTGAATGTATGTGATCTCTAAACTATCCAGAATAAAAAAAAACCATCAAATATAAAGAGCTGTAGAAGAAATAAGAGACATGTGGGAATATGATGTGGGAACACAATGAGGTACATACCATCCCTGACCAAATGTTTGCTTTTAAAGTTATGTCCATGATCCTTATTCTGAACATACTCAATGATTCCCTCAATATCTTTATTCAAATACAAGATGCAATTGTTTTTTTCACCTGCATAAAAACCCAAAGAATTTTAAATATAAAAGAATAGTAATAGGATAAAAACTTGTTCTCAGACCATTTTTAAACATCACAGAACAGATAAAAAGAATGAGATAATAAGTTAATAACCAATAATCAATAAACATCTATTAAGCACCTACTATGTGGCAGGAACTCTGTTAAATACTAGGGATATAAACATGAAAAAAAAGATAATCCCTGCCCTCAGTGAGTTTATGAGGTAATAGTGGTAGATTACACACAAAAGAAAGCTGAAAAAGGTTGAGGGGAAGGTACCTGGCACAGTGGAGAACTCAACATAATCTAAAACGAGTGATGACGGAGAATCCAAAAAATAGTTATAATAGTTCATAGGTATATAACAATATGGAAGATACGTTTTTCCCTCTCAACTCTGGGAAGTAAGTTGTTCAAATGCTATTTTCCTTTAGGAAATTTATATAGGATAAACCAATCTTCTTGTATTGCAGCAATGAGTTACAATGTTAGCTTTAAAATTTACTGTCTGGATCATCATGAACAAGTTAGGTAAAATTTTGCATTTTTCTTTTCTTTTTTTTTTTCTTTTTTTTTTTGGTTAGGCAATGGGGTTAAGTGACTTGCCCAGGGTCACACAGCTAGTAAGTGCATTTTTATTTTCAAATGTTATCATAGGTTTGGATATCGTCTCTACGTGACTTTTCCATAGTCTCGTGGTTGTATATTGTCTATGATTCTTGAATCACTATGTCATTTTGCAGTATATACTTTTAACAATTTCCTGTAATCATCAGAAATTTTATGTTAATTTTTCATGTCAATATACTACTAATGTAATATAAAATACAACATATTTTCAATAAGCAAGTATTTATTGATCATATGTCATGTTAAATACAGTTAAAAATAAATTAACTTGTCTGATTGCTAGTCAAATCTCCATGAATTATAATTCACTTTGTTCAATTTGGTTAGGAATTACTTGTTTCACCTTTTTTTTTATTTTAGTAAACTAAGCTGGAATAACCTTATAAAATATGAGCCTAAATTAAAATAGGAACCTTGTTCATTTTGCCTTTTTTTGATGTTCTGCCTCCAAATATAGATTGATTTGAAAAACTCACTTATCTCTTGTATTGCATAGATAATAATACAAAGGCACTGAAAAAAATGTAAACAAATAAAAAAGACAAAAAAGAGGGCCATTTAAGAGAAATAAAAAGATACAAAGACTAAAGAAATAAGACTAAATGGGACCGAAGCATTTCCAGATGCTCAAACACTTTCAACATCTAGGACAAAGTTATATACAATCCCTGAATACATTAAATGTATTATATTTTTATGCTCTTTTTTGTCCAAACTTTTGTGTGTGTGTGTGTGTGTATGTGGGGGGGAGGTTAAAATCAGTTTTCTAAAAAGTGCTCAGATCAAATCAGTCAATCCACTTTGGTTACTAACATAGCAAAAAATATTAGACTAACTTTCATAATTTAATACAATTTTTCAAAAAAACTACATTAATTTATAATAAACTCAATTCTCTTCATACTGGAAAACCTTTTAAAATAATCCAAGCTTTCACTTGCTTTGAAAGGGAACTTCTATAATAAAATGAAATTGCTGTTATTTATCATATAGCCATGGTATTTTTAAAATAGAAGAAACCTAAGTTTTCCTTAAGTTCAACCACTCATTGTATCCTGAAGAAAATTGATGATCAAGTTAAGTGCCTTGCCTAATTAGTGTGAGAGATAGTGTAATACTTGTAGCTAGAAGACTTGGATTTGAATTTCGGTGCTTTCCCTTACTTGCCTAAAAAAAATTGTGTTAGTTACTTTAATTGACTTAGTTTCAGTCTCCTCATTCTTATAGCAGGAATAAATAATAATTGTTCATAGGGCAACTAAATGGCACGGTGGATAGAACACTGGCCCTGGAGTCAGGAGGACTTGAATTCAAATCCAGCCTCAGACATATAATATTCACTAGCTCTGTGACTCTGGGCAAGTTACTTAACCACAATTGTCTACCCCCCCCAAAAAAATAATTGTACTATCTAACTCACCTGATTCCTTTGAGAAGCAAGTTATAGAATGTATTTGGAGTGTTTTTATAATATAAAAAATCCTGTATTTGTGTAAGCGATTTTATTAATATGTGACAGAATTCAGGCTAGACCTGTCTCTCCCCTATGGGTGGGAGAGAACCAATTCTCCTGCTTGAAACTTCCATATTTGGATAAAATTGAGGGAATTTAGAAGCCATCAAATCTAATCTCACTTAAACTGAATTTTTAAGAGATTAATTGACTTACTCATAGTTACATAGTATCTGATATTAAATTTATTCCAGGTCTTTCTGACTTCAAATTCAGCATTTTAACATGCTCCACTGAATCTTCTATGATGTTCTAGAGTGTTCTAGTTTCTGCCAGGCTGTGGTGTGTACTATAGAATGTTTAGAGAATTATTGTTAGATGAATAGTAATAGAATGGTTGCTATTATTTCAAGGAATACTAAGAATTTCTTCACAAATGGACCGAGAGGCTAAAGACCAGTATTTAGTTGTTGTTCAAGCCACAGACATGCTTGGTCTTCCAGGAGGACTTTCTGGCACAACAACTGTCACAATTAATCTCTCTGATGTCAATGATAACAGGCCTATATTTCAACTTGGTAAGTACCAGAATGGCTTAAATTTTAATTATTAAAAAATTACCAGCAACTTAAGTAGGTGCTACTTTTCTATTGCTTCATTTTAATAGAAAACAAGCAATTCTAGACCTATTAGTAACATAATATAAAATTTTTATTAAGCAACTAAAATAAACTTATTTTTCTGTGTTTGTTTAAATATTCCTGAAATAGTTTTCCTCAAGCAATGCTGTGAGATAGATGGTGCATGTAGTGTTATTCCCATTATTAGGACATTAGGAATCTGAGGCTCAAAGGTGAAGCTTGCTGAAGACATGTTTTTTAACTCCAAGGAATAGAGGCTTTGTTTTGTTTTATTTTTTAATTTATTGTTATTGTTTCTATTGTCAAAGATGAATTATATTGAGTCCAAGCTGAAATATTCTTCTGATCAAACAAAAGTCAGATAATCAGAGATTTTGAAGAATTACTATATTTTTAGTCAATTCAATTTCAGATTCCTATGCTAAAGGAAAGGTCAAAGAATTTGTTGTCTCCTATAGCTTTTGTTGTTGTTATTCAGTTGTTTCAGTCATGTCTGACTCTTTGTGACCCCATTTGGGGTTTTCTTGGCAGAGATGCTGGAGTGGTTTAGTCATTTTCTTCTCTAACTCAAGATGAGGAACTGAGGCAAACAGAATTAGGTGACTCACCCAGGGTCACACAGCTAATAAGTATCTGAGGGCATATTTGAACTCACAAAGATGAGTCTTCCTGACTTCAGTCCTGGCACTGTATCCAGTGTACCACCTAACTGCCTATTTTGTTTTAGGCTTGTTTAATTCAGTTATCGTAAACCTATGAAGAAAAAAAAACACCATTGTTGTGTCTAGAAGAGTTAATCTTCAGGGCAATACTGTGGCACTTGGTTATTAATAACCAAGAGAAATTGGAAGCAGATTTCCAGAGATGTTGAGCATAGGGAATATCTGTAATATTAGTTCTGGGAAAAAAAAAAGACTAATTTTATGCCATTATACAAGTAAGGGAACAACTGAGGTGGGTAAAAGAAGAAATGACTGAGAAAAAGTTTCCAGCTTCTGAGTATATAAATTTATTAAGCGATGCATGCCAATTGCATAACAAATAGGGAGTAGTAACCTTTCTCAGCTTTGGCACTAGACTCTGCATATGGGGAAAGACAGATTTTTATACCTTAAAAACAATCAAAAAAGACCAATTAATTAAAAGGAAACAACTAACCAGGATGCAACATTAGATAATCTGATTTTTGTTTGGAGGAAAGATTAGGGACTTTCCAAGTTGGTGGAGGGAGAATGAATAAATGCAATTTCTTGAAATCAAAAAAAGTGGTGTCCTACTCCCCTCAAATGTCTGTAAACAATCAAAGGGACATTGAAACAAATACTGATTGATGTAAGGCCAGTTTTCAGATAAGAACTTTGGGTAGCTTGAGATGTATAATTGTGATAAAATTCTTTGCATCAATTTTTGAGTCTGCCTGGGTTTCTAGTCAGCATAATGATCCTTACTTAAGGGTCTCTAAGTAACAAGTAAAGGTGGTCCAGTTTCCCAGCCAAGCTGGGCACAATTGAAACAATGAAATAAAGTTTTCTCCTAAATCCCACAATTGAATGAAGTTTTCTCACAAGACAAAATTGGATTAAACCCATAGCTGAATAGAAAGGGAACTCAGATCCAGAAATGAGTCACAAGATGGAATCAGTGTGGTTCATAAAATTCCCACAACCTTTTAGTGTTCTAATCCTTTCAATTTCCTTACAATAAAATTTGAAGAGAGTCTACTCAGGCCTAATTTTTGATTGATATGATTACTAGCATAGTGCCTGATACATAGCAGACTCCTAAAAAATATTTATTGATGGATTAATAGACATATTATTTTTAAATTGCTATAAAATTTTAAATAATGATTACTCAATAAGAGTTATTAATAGAGTTATTAATAGAGTTGCTAAGTTAAACAGGTTGATGCATGTTTTGCAGTTTGTTCCCAGTTTGGGAAGGAGAAATACCTAGTATATGTTTTTGTATGCACTGCCTACTATGTGGAAACAACAGTTTTCCCAAAACTTTTTCTTTCAATCTTTCAGATGTTTAATTTCAAAGTCATAAGATCATAACTTTTCTAGTGGAAAAGACTTCATAGAGCAACTAGTTTAATCTTCTAATTTTACTGGTGAGGAAACTGAAGCCCAGAGAGGCTAAATAACTTGCCATAGATCAAATAGGTAATGAGTTTTTTGAGGAAAGATTTTAACTCAGGCCCTCAAACTCTATAGTCACTATATAAAATGGCTACTTTCTCAGAATCTTGTTTAACTTAGAAGCTTTGACAAGCAGTCAGTCATTAGGTCATCCTGATTCTTCATTTCTAATATTCCTTACAGTCATGGAGAGTCTTAGAGTAATATCAAAGTTGAGAAGGTGAAGGGAGGAGTAAGAGTCAGAGAAAGAGATTCTAAATAAAAGATTTTCAAATTACTGTCTAAAGAGACAGAAAATTTGTGCAGTAGTTATGCATACCCTTAGAAAAGCATAAATGTGATAATGTTCTATTTTTTCTTGAAGGACTCTACCACATGAATGTCTCTGAATCTGCACCAGTTGGAACTTCCATAGGAATAATCATGGCAGAAGACAGTGACATAGGAGAGAATGCAAAAATGAATTACAGTATTGAAGATGGTTCATACATCTTTGACATTATCACCAATAATGAGACTCAGGAAGGAATAGTTGTATTAAAAAAGGTATTTATGTTTAAATAGTAAATTATATGTATACAAATAGTTGGAAATTGAATGAGTAACAGATAGAACTATTTTTCATAACAGATTGTCCTGTGATATTCACCTTAATTAAAAACTAGCTTGAGAATGAGAATTGCAAAAAGGAAATAAAATTTATTACAAAATTAGAAGAATATCATTAATAATAATATATGACAAGTTAATATTTGAAGAGCTTTTTTATTAAAGGCAGAGTTTATGAATTCAGTTTGAATATTGGGAAATTACTTTTAATAATTCTATATGAAATTTCAAAAGCTGTTTAAACCTACCTAAAAGTATAGTTATCATTTCAAAACAACTTTCATTAACTTCAATGACAAAATGGACTGCCTTAATTGTAATGAATACCTACTTTTTATAATGCCATTTAATGAAAATGTCAGACTAAGTATAGAAGTTAAAAGGTATTAATTCCTAACATATAACATGTGCTCAACCAAGACAGTTTAATAATTCAAACTTTTTTTTATATTTTAAAACACTTGAAAGTAACTATGCTAGTCATTAATCTATAATTAACTTTGTAATGCTGAAGAAAAACCTGATTTTTGAACACTGCAATCTGTTTCTATGTAGAAATTGGATTATGAGGTTCAGCGACAATACAGCATTCGAGCAAAAGTTACAAACAGCTTTATTGATAAAAATTTCCCAAAGGATGAAAATTCCGGACAAACTACTGTTATTAAAATCAGAGTGGAAGATGCTGATGAACCACCAATTTTCTCCCATCTGGAGTATCCAATGGAGATTGCTGAAGAATCTCCCTATGGTTCATATGTGGGCACTGTATTTGCCAGAGATCCAGATATTACCAACTCTCCAATCAGGTATGACCAACCAAACTCTCAATTCACAAAGTCAGAGAAACAACCACAACAATGAAAAGAATATAATTTCCCTTTGAACTCTACTTTTTAGTGTCTTTCAAAACAAACACTATTAAATAACATTTAATTTTATGCACTTCAAATTCTAATTTTCCTCATACAGTGCTACAAATATGTAAGCATGACAGAAAATTTAGTGTTTTTTTGTTTGTTTAGTTGTTTTTAGTGGTGAACATTGGACTTTCATCCTCGATAACTTGTGAATAATACCATATGTTAAAGGTGATTGGGTATAGATACATACTTAGTGGTAACTGTGACAGCTCCTCTATCTCTTCTATGTTAGAGAAAACTGGCAGTGTAATCTGTTAAGCAGCCAGATGAATGGGGAAAAATATTTTTTCATCAACAGATGGTGTTCCTGCTACATATGAATAGCTTTTTCTCTTCCTAACCCATCCTTGCATTCAATGGAAGTCTAGCAGATATGGCCTAGAATAGAATCAGAAATTATTTTGAAAAATATGAAATATTATGATGGCTTATCTGTGTCCCTTCAATCACAGCTTCATTGCAAAATATTTTGCTATTTACTGTTGATAGAAACATGATTTATTTTCACCTATTTTCAATTTGTTGTTTAATTTGTTTATAAATTAACAATTAAAAATATTTGTTCAGTACAAACCCAATGTTCAACATTGTGCTAAAGTTTAAGGGGTTATAAGAATATAAGACATAGGTCATTAATAGTGAGAAATTTGTAGTTGAATAATAGCACATGCACACATGCATGCACACACACACACACACACAGAAAGCATGTAATTGAGTTCTAAATTGTAACGTGCTTGTAAATATGCTTTAAGAAGTCAGAGAAGAGACAAGTTAATGAGGCCCAGAGATTTAAAAAAAAAGTATTTATAGAAGAGGTAGGACTTGAGTTGTGTCTTTATGGTGGGTAGGATATAAGCAAGTAGAAAGAAAGTAAAGACATTCCAGGAGGAACAAACAGCATGATCAAAGGCTGAGATACAAATCTGGGGGACTGGCTCAATTGCAACAAATCCAGAAAACAAAAATAAAATCTACTAATACAAAAGAAAAAGATAAGAGAGAGAGATTTTTGTGGTTCAGACACGTCTGACTTTTCCTATTCCCATTTGGGTTTGTTTTTGGCAAAGAAAAGAGAGTGATTTGCCATTTCTTTCTTCAGCTCATTTTACAAATGTTGAAACTGAGGCATATGAAGTTAAGTGACTTGCCCTAAGTTTCATAGCTAGTCTGAGGCAAGATTTTAATTAACAAAGATGAGTCTTCTTGCCTGCAGGCTTGGCATTCTATCATTGTGTTACTGAGCTGCCTGATGGATGGATGGTAGGTAGATAGATAGACATATACATACATACATAGGGATGTGTCAGATACTGTGATAAAATAGGAATGTACTATTGTAATGCTATTATTGGCTGCAGTGAAGATACATATAATAACTTCAATAAAATCATTTGACAAAGCTTGAGAGGCAGCATGGCAGATGATAAGGGTGGCATGCTTTCAGGCAAGATGACCCAGATTTAAGTCTTACCTCTAACACATGTGGGCTTTGTGGCTCTGGACAATTCACTTACTCTCCCAATACTCCAGCTTTCTGACAGTATAGGTAATCCTTCATATCCATAATCCTGCACCTCAGCAATGAAGGGAGAACTGTATATCAAGTCTCCTGCAAGGCCAATTAGTTACTACAATTACATAGTATTAATTTTATTTTATTGGTATGTTATTAAAATATGCACATATGTCTATGTATGTGGATATACATGTATATGTATGTGTGCATATATGTGGATATATTTGTAAATAGCAATCTTCTCTGCATTACTTTATTCATATAATTCATACCATTCTTCCCATTTTTATTTAAATTCTTCACATTCATTGTATAATAGTGCTGCAATTTTTCATTGCATTCATATAAAAATATTTAACCATTCTCCAATCAATGGACACATACTAATTTCTACTGTTTTGCTGCCAAATTTTTTTTGTTTTATATTTTGATATAATTATGTCATTTCATTCTTCCTTTGGTCTCATACCAGTATATAACTAGAAGTGTTGTGTCAGAATCAGAATATGTATATTTTCATTACTTTTTCACACAATTCAAAATTGTTTTCCAGAATAATTAAGTCAATTAATTTCCATCCACTATATGTATATGTGTGTTCACATCCATAAATTTGACAAATTATATATATATGCATATATGTATATATGCATATATATATATATGTAAGTGTGTGTGATCATCTTTCCAAAATCTCTTCAACATTTACTTATTCTATTCTTTATGTAATTATTGGCAAATTTTTAATTGTGATATACAAACTTTGAGTTGTATTCATTTATATTTATTTTATAATTAGTGGTATGGACAACCTTCCAGATCTTTGTTGATGAATACTGGTGCTTCTTTTAATAACCATTTCATATTCCTTGACTACTTATTCATTGAAGAATGACTTTTTGTCTTAAAACTGTGAATTGATTCCCTTTATACATTGAATATCCTAACTAAATCAAAGAGTTTTCATACATATTTTACAAATGATTTCCTTCCTAATTACAAATGCATGTTTTTTTTATTTTGTTCATTTTTATTTTTTTTCAATTTTCAATTTTCATTTCATGTGACTGACATTATCTATTTTACCATAGGTGATCACCTTTTCCCCTTCCCTACCTAAGAATTCTCCTTTTGGTCATAATTGTAATAATACCACCTTCTTCTTCTAATTTTTTTTTCACATTGTGATTTTTTACATTTAAATTAAGTCTTAGTTTGGAACTTTTTGTGGTATATGGGGTAAGATGTTACTCTACATTTGTATTTGTCAATCTGCTTACAAGTTTTGTTATCAGTTCTTGTTTAGTATTTTTCCCATTTTTGAAAAGTTAATTACTATTTAAAATTTTCAATTACACATGAATAAAACTTTTTAATCTTCATTTATAAAAAATTTGAGCTCCAAATTCTCTTTTCCTTTCCCTCCCCACAGCCATCTATGAGATGGTAAGCAATTTAATAGATTATGCGTGTGCAGGAGAAAAGTAAAACACAGAACACTCACAAGAGTTAATTTGACAGAAAATAAACTTCAAATAAGATTTAGTAATTTAATGTTTAACTACTACTGAAATCTGTAGGAAGCCTCATACTTAAGTGTCATCAAAGCACTTTTCTGAACGTCTATTAGACATTTTATATTTCATCTTGACTCTGCCCTGTCCAAATAGCTCCTGATATATGTCCTCTGGATAAATGTTGAGGATTGTACCAGACTTCTTGTTGTTAGACATCCTTTCCAAGGACATTAGAGTAGGAACTAGTCTCTTTCCCTTTGTATCATTTAGCACCAATCCAATCCAGGATCTCTGGACCTCTTAAATTCAAAAGGTCAAATACAAAATGGTCATTTTGATTTAGCAAATTATTTTAGATACAGTCTTAATCTAGGCTCAAATTTATCTAGGCAGAATATGTGCTCTAAAATCAACGTGCTTATGATTGTATGGAATATTATAGGGAAAGTACTCATCTCTTGGGAAGTGGTTAAAAACAGTCCTGAAAGAATTTGAAACCAGAAAGGAAGAGATATGCGAGGGCAGGATCATTCTCCTTTAAATTTTTACTGAAGCATCAGTTTTTATGGGTTTATATGTAATAAGGGAATTATTTTGCTCTCTAAGTACAAGTGTTTTCTCTAAACTATCAAGAAGCATTATATGTACTGGGAAATGCTATGAAGCATTTCCAATAAGATCAGAGTTGAAACAAGTATGTTCATTATCATCACTTTTATTCAATATTGTACTAGAAATGTTATCTTTAGCAGGAAGAGAAGAAAAAGAAATTGAAGGAATTAGAATACACAATGAAGAAACAAAGCTATTGTTCTTGGCAGATCTTATAATGATATACTTAGAGAATTCTACAGAATCAAGTAAAAAATGACTTGAAATAATTAACTGCTTTAGTAAAGTTGCAGAATATAAAATGAACTCACATAAATCATTGGCATTTCCATATATTACTGACAAAGTCCAGCAACAAGAGATAAAAAGAAAAATTACATTTAATATAATTGTAGACAATATAAAATAATTTAGAAGTCTATCTTCCAAGAGAAACCAAGGACCTCTGTGAACACAATTACAAAATACTTTTCGCACAAATAAAAACATATCTAAATAATTGGGAAAATATCAGTTGCTCATAGGTAGACTGAGCTAATATAATAAAAATAGCAATTCTACCTAAATTGACTTACTTATTCAGTACCATACCAATCAGACTATGAAAATGTACCTTATAGATCTAGAAAAAACAACAACAAATTCATCTGGAAGAACAAAAGTTCCAGAATATCAAGGGAATAATTGAAAAGAAATGCAAGGGAAGGTGACCCAACCATACCAAATCTAAAACCGTATAATGAAATAGCAATCATCAAAACTACTTGATACTGGCTAAGAAATAGAGTGGTGAATTAGTGGAATAGGTTAGGTACACAGGACACAGTAATCAATGGATAATCCATGTAATCAATGGATAAATCTAAACGTTCCAGCTTCTGGGATAAGAACTCATTATTTGACAAAAACTGCTGGGGATATAGAAAAATAATATGGCAAAAAGTAGACAGAGAGCAATATTTTACACTGTATGCTAATATAAGGTCAAAATGAATACATAATTTAGACAAATAGAGATACCACTAGCAAATTAGGAGAGCAAGAAATAGTTTCCTTGTCAGACCTATGGAGAAGGGAAGAATTTATAAGCAAACAAGAGATAGAGAACATTATGGAACGCAAAATGGATAATTTTGATTCCATTGAATTTAAATGTTTTTGTACAAATAAAGTCAATGTAATGAATATTAGAAGGAAAGCAGAGTGCTGGGAAATATTTTTTTTCTGCCAGTGTTTCTCCTAAAGGTCTCATTTCTAAAATATATAGAGAATTGAGTCAAATTCATAAGAATACAAGTCATTCCCAATTGACAAATGGTCAAAAGATATAAACAGGCAGTTTTCAGATGAAGAAATTAAAGCTATTTATAGTCATATAAAATGCTCTAAATCACTATTGAATAAAGAAATGAAAATTAAAAAAAAACTCTGAGGAACCACATCACACCTCTCAGATTTTCTAATATGACAGAAAAGGAAAATAATAAATGTTGGAGATGTGGGAAAATTGGAACACTGATGCATTTTTGGTAGAATTGTGAACTGATCCAAGCATTCTGGAGAATAATTTGGAATTATGCCCAAAGGGCAACCAAACTGTACATACCCTTTGATCCAGTAATACCACTACTAGGTCTGTATCCAAAAGAGATCATAGAAAATGGAAAAAGGACTCACATGTACAAAAATATTTAAAGCAGCTCTTTTTGTGGTGGCCAAGAATTGGAAATTGAGAGGATGCCCATCAACTGAGGAATGACTGAACAAATTGTGGTATATGAATGAATACCATTGTGCTATAAGAAATGATGACTGGGAAGATTTCAGAAAAAAACCTGGAAAGATTTATATGAACTGATGTTGAGGGAAGTGAGCAGAACCAGGAGAACATTGTACACAGCAACAGCAACATTGTGCGAGGATCAACTTTGATAGACTTAGCTCTTCTCAGTAATATAATGAACTAAGATAATTCCAAGAGAATCATGATGGAAAATGCTATCCACATCCAGAGAAAGAATTATGGAGTCTGAATGCAGACAGAAGAATAGTATTTGCTTTCTCTCTTTTTTTTTTTGTTTTGTTTTCTCTTTCTCATGATTTTTCCCTTTTGTTGATTCTTCTTTCACAACGTGACTAATGTGGAAATATGTTTAATATGATAATATATATATATATATATATATATATATATATCCTATATCAGATTACATACTGTCGTGGGGAGGGGGGAGAAGAGAGAAAGAGAGAGGTAAAAATTTGTAACTCAAAATCTTATAAAAGTAAATGTTGGATACTAAAAAAAAAGAAATCTAAGTGCAAGATTTTTTAGGCTTGCATCAAACATGGCTATTATCAGTTACACAAGTTGCCTCAGCATGCCTTTGTAGGTTATAAAAATAAGCTAGGCATTTCATTTGGTCCTAAAGTTAAGATGTGTTACCAAGGAGTGGAAATTTCAGAGAGGCAAATTTTGATTTAATATAAGAATAATTTTTTTCTAATTATCAGAGCTATTTACAAATGGAAATGTCTGCCTTAGAAGTCTGAAATTTTCCTAACTTTTGATTTCTTCTAGTTGAGGCTAGATCATCACTTGAGACTAGATCATCACTTGAGGGGAGATAAGGTAGATGGGATTCATGAACTATTTTTGAAATAGGCTAAATGAACTCTGAGATATCTTTAAATTCAATTAAATTTAATAAATACTTATTTTCTTACTGTGGTGAAAACAGTAACATACAAAGATAAGACATTCCTGAATTCATTGCCTATGTAATGTAGTTGAGAATAAATACAATATTGATAAATTACTGTAATCTACAACAGTACATGATAAGCACATCCACTTGCATAAACAAGGTTCTTTGTTGTCTAAGGAGGAAAGATCATTACTAATTAGGGGTTAGGAGTAGGAGGTGAGAGGGATCAAGGAAAACTCCCTAGATGAGGTAGTAGTATACAATTCTTTCTTTCTTTCTTTCTTTCTTTCTTTCTTTCTTTCTTTCTTTCTTTCTT